TCTTAAATCGAGTCACCGTTCTCTGAAATCTGCCGCCTCTAGGACGCTGCCGCCCCTAGGCCGCGGCCTATGCGGCCTATTTATAAATCCAGAACTGGACAGTGGGTACAACCAGGAGGCATATTTTAAGGGGTTATATACCTTTTTTATTTTCAAAACATCCAAAATTTGTTTATTGCTTTATCTTAAAGAACAACTCCTTAAGGGGTTATATACAGTTGTACCGCGCAAAAATATGGATTTTTATCGATTTTTTTTTGACACCATAGAAAATATTTATGAAAAATGTTTTAACGATGTTGTTTAGTACATGTTTCTGGGTACTTAATTAAATTTTTTCATAAAAAAATATTACATAACAAAAATGTTAAAGCCGAATTCCCGGATCGTCTTTTTTCGATGGTGTCTTGCGGTGGACATGATTTCTCGAAAACGGTTCATCCGAAATCCAAAATTCAAAAAAGTTTAGTTAGTATATTGTCTAGTCGGTGAACGAGGGATTTTTAAAAGTTTTGATTAAAAATTAAAAATGGCGACGTTTTTAACAAAAAATGTACTCTTTCAATGTATAAGATTTTCGTTTTTTGTGCTTTAAAAAGGGAGTTTTCAAAAAAATTGAAAATCCCTCGTTCACGGACTAGCTAATATCATAATAAATAAGTGGTCAAAATTTGGTTGATCGGATTAGTAGTTTTTTAGTAATCGTGTCCACCGCAAAGGTAATTTCCCAAAAAAAAGATTCTGAGATAATCGCGTTTAAAGATTCAAGTTTGTTCAAGTTTTATATGCAGATAGTGCGCTATAAATAGCTACAGCTTCGGTTCTAATGCTTCGATCGTTATAAATTTTTGTGAGAGTATTCCCAATAGAATATAGTTAAAGAATATGCAATACAAAAAAATCGATTTTTTCATATATCACAACTGTATATAACCCCTTAAGAACGTTTTCCCAAATTTTCATAGAGATTCGAGCAGTAGAAAAAAAGTTACAGCGCTCCTAACCGCGCGCATCGTCGCGTCCTTGAACTGAACTTGAAACTTTAAACGCGAATATCTCGAAATGGCGTTTCTTGAAAAATGACTTTGCGGTGATATGGATTGGCGGAAAACTACTGAACCGATTTACTTTAAATTGTTTTCAGGCACAAACTTTTTTTCACCGAAATTAATTTTTTAGTGAAATTTCTAGAGACCAAAAAGTTTGTTTTTAGCATAAAACGTTTCCATATGCATAAAAAAAAAATTTTAAAAACGATCGTTCATTCCCCGGAATTTCCCGGATAAATATTCCAAAGTGTAATGGGGATGTAAAGAAGTGGAAGCTATTCCACAATTTATTTTCCTGCATGGTTCGTGAAACTTGTATGCGAGCATTAAAGAAAATGCGGTATCTGTGGTAGCGCTATCAGGCTATGCGGAGGGGCTGATACCCCACATTGAGCTAAACGAGGAAACTATTACTATTTATAAACTAGCTGTTTATAACTATATGAAGCTGTATATAACCACCCTAGAAACCCTTGCATCATTGAAGGGACTAGACATCTACGTATTTACATGGGTTGCCTTTTTAGTTGTCTTTCATAGGAAACTCAATAAGAAACTCAGTAGAAGTCCTCCCCTTGCAGACAATGCATGAATTTCTAAGGAAAATTATTAGACTAAGAAAATCAATGCATCCGACAGGCAAGCATCGTGCTATTGTTGCAAAGTGACAACTCTCTTGTTGTATAAATGTAATAAGTTCCGCCATAAAACAGTATTTGAAGACAAAATTGGGTACAAAAACAAAAAATGTGCGTCTTTTTATTTTTAAACCGACCACAAATCGAGGTAGTTCAAAGGAAGAAATTGTTTCAAGTGTGACAAAAATCATCAAACCTTTTACAACTAGAACTTACAAGCCTCCAAGCTTCAGATGTAGGTGTAGTAAGCAATAAAAATTACAACCTTCTTGTCTCAGCAAAGATAGTAGTTTAAACTGATCACGGACAGGCAGGCAGCGAAGTTTCAAGCACTGCTGGATGCAGGATCGCAGATCAATTTAATCACCGAACGACAACATCAATGTTGTCGTTAAAACGTTACAAAAGCAAACATCGAATCAAAGTTATTGGTGGACAACCAAGGATGAACAGAGCAAGAGTGACTGTTATAGTAAAGCCCATCATGGGGATTTTACCAAGCGCATAGAAGCCTTTGTACTTCCGCATATTATAGCTGACCAACTAGCTCAACCACTTTCTCATTGCGAGTAGGATATTGCAATTGCAAATTGTGTGCATAAGCAAATCCCCAGTTCGACAAACTTGGGAGAACTTATCTACTAAGAATCAAAAAAAAAAATGAAGAGACGGCTCAAACAAGCTGACTTTTGCCAAACACTATTCAACCCTACGGGAGTCAAAAGATATTGCTATCAAAAGGTTTCTAGCAATTTAGCAACGCCTGGCTGGTGACGTTCGGAAAGGGTATTCTGACTTCATGGAAGAGTACGAAGTATTGGGATATATGAAACTGGTGCAATTAAGCCATATACCTAGGGATCATTATTTTATTCCTCATCAATGCGTAGTATATGGTCCATTTTGCAAGAAGATAAGTGGGAAATCCTTGAATGATATGTTACATACGGGATCCACAGTTCAGAGCGAGTTTTAGTCGAGGCTGATACGATTCCGGAACAAAGGCAGCCCCATTCCTGGCAACAAAATGACTTAATAAGGTATCAATCCGGTCACGGGAAAACTACCCGCTAGGATCGACAGCACTCGAAAACGACTTCTATGTAACCGATTGTTTGACGAGTGCTAATTCAGTCGCAAAAGCAGTGCGAATCCGGCTTCAAGCATCGAAAATGGAAGTACCTATGGAAGATACTGTGAGCGACGTGAAATTAGGTGAGACATTAGATCAATACAGTGTCAAAACCCTTGGGCTCATTTGGATGTCCAGTCAAGACTAACATAAAAGTTAAAAATCTTCGTGCAATACCTGTGGGAATTAAAAATGGCATGGGGCGACGAACTCCCGTTAGATCTCCAGCCAGAATGGAAAAAGTATCGCTTTGACTTTCAAGCATTCAATAAATTGCGCATCCCAAGACACATACATGGAAAGTTTTCAATCACTCAGGAACTAAACACCTTCGTCAACGCTTCAGAGAAAGCCTATGGAGCAATAAACGAGCAACGTAAAAAATCAAGCAAAGTCTCGGTAAAGCTATTCTAAGTCGAAAGTGGCAGCTACAGCAAAGCAATCATTACCCAGACTGGCGCAGCAGTTTTAGAGGCAGAGCTCACGCACAGAGTCAGGCAAGATTTACGCTTGTCTGTAGACAAAGTTTCGTCATTTTCATTCATTCATTCGTCATTTTGGGTTGGATAAGTGCAGCGGCTTCCACATACCACACTTTTGCAAACACATCGGTCAATCGAATAGCCAAGATTCAATATGTAAGGAAGCAGCAATAGCGCCACGTATGATCCGCTAACAATGCAGTTGTTGTATTGTCCCGAGGAACTGCCAGCAAGCTAACACATAATAACATTTGATTCTGAAGATTTAATAATAGTTTGGAGCAGAAGACATAATATGTCAGCATGGCAGCCGCAAGGGACGCATTTGGAGAAGAATTATAAAACTGAGGCACAGCAACTCGTTCCACAAATAGTAACGGATCACCAACGTGAACGAACAGAGCGCCAACAAAAGCTCTATGCCTAAGCGAATAGAGCCAAGCACGCATCATCTAGAACCGAATCGAACCTTTGAATCGAATTTAACGCAGAATACAAACAGTTAAAGCGATACAAAACAATAGATAAAAAGGGTTCTCTTGTATCGATGGCCCCATCTTCGGATTCGTTGGGTTAATCCGTGTGGGAGGCATATTAGAGCATTCTAATCTAGCTTATGATGCACAACATGCTGTATTGTTTTTACGAGTCATTAAAACGTATCCAGGACCCGATAATTTCGTACGGGTAGTCGACATAAAAACTTCATCTGGAATTTTCAAAAGAAAGAATTTTCCCTGTTTCTAGAAGACATAAAAAGCAAGCTTTCAATGAACGTCACCACGCTGTAGACGAGTGGACGCTGTTTCCACTATCCATGGCCCAGCCTATAAAAGTGAGTAAGTTCAGCAACAAGCCGAAATATTCTATGAAAGTTTTTGAACCACGAGAATGGTGTCTTTAAAGTGGACAATGATAGTCTACTACTATAATTGTTTGGCGTGACATCACAGTGAGAATTTCCTTATCCAGCTGCTCCAAAACCAAACCCTCCATTGTTGTCTCTACCATTAACGTGGTGAGAAAGGGAAGCATAGCTACGAACAATCGCCTTAAATCGTTTGAATAACAGATGACCATTATGAATCAGCAACGAGGAAAGTATCAGGGTGCTCAGCTGCAGCAATCATTTGTGAACCTCACAGCTCAACTGAGTCTACTTGCAAATTGACTACAGCGGGTGCAGCGGGACTCCAGTATGTTAAGTCATAGCATTTAACACTACATTACAAAATAAAAAAAAAACATTGTAAACAATAAAAAAAATATTTGGTCATGAATTACACCACAAAACGCTGACTACACATAACACCAAAAACAGCTTCAGCAAGAGTTGCTGAGTGTCGGAAAGTGAGTGAATAAAATCGTATAAAATATTGTAACGCAATCCACACTTTTAAATTGTTAATTTATCATTTTTATTTTGTGCTATATCTCCATTTATTTACCACCAATTCTTTCAATTTTTACCCATTTAGAAACTTTGCAATTTCTTTCTCCACGTTTATCTTGTTCAAGTGCAACTTGCGGCAACAACCCAGAAATCGGTTTTTGTACCCTTTGCTTAAACTAATCCTTACAGATTAACAAACCAAGTAATGCAAATATTAAAAATTAATAAAACCAGTCTACATTATAGATGTTATATATGTGTCTGAACTTTATTCTAATAAAATTATTATTTATTTGTATGTTTCAGTAAAATGCTTTTAAAGGATACACATGCATGCTTTTATCCCTATTATTCCGCGACGAACATTGATCGACTCGTGATATCGGGATACAGCCAGTCTAAGGAACAATTATCTCAGAGGAAAGTATAAAAAATATTTATTAATTCAAAATTGGCCTTATCATCTATGTTTTACTATAGTACTATTCTATTCTAAAATACACTATTCTATACTAGCCATCAAATGATCATATGACAAACTTAAGAGCAGTAGTCACCGTGCGTAATCTACGAAATTAACGATTTTATATATATTTATATAATATTTTAATTGTTTTTTTAGTGTTTACCAAAACTTATAATCTAATCAAGAAAAATACAAAATTTTAAAATCTCCTTTACAGGAGATTAAAAAAAAAAAATTATAAAATTTGTTGTAAAAAGATGAATCAGAATTGACTCCAACATAATTGGAAAATGCGTATGTTTTTTTTAAATACATTAAAATGTCTTAAATACCTTATGTACCTCATAGTGAAATCTTTAAGCTTCACGGCGCGAGCTAGGAATTCATTTTAGACACATGGTTTCATGGTGAAATTTTATTAGAATTCTTCGTAGATTCCGATTATGGGGGACGATTTTTGCGAAAAAAATTGACCCGCCCTACGATAGAGGCAATGGACCAGTCCAAAATGCTGGACAATCCAGGTCGGTGGAATGGCCACAATCTCACAGCGGGCCATAAAATACCTGGGCCTGATGATTGACACCCGGCTCTCCATCCGAGGGCATCTCGAGTACATCCAGGGCAAGACTGCAGCCAGAAAGCAAGTAAGGGACATGTCTGGTCTACGCCTTACCGACTTCTGTAACGCAACGAACAGGCGTGTTAAGGCGTGCACGCCCAGTTAGGAAACCGATCGGGAACACCCCGGTCACCAGTCAAGAAACTCCCGATCCGGACTCGCCACCGCGTATGCGCGGTGTGTCACCGTTGTAGCGGAGGTGCGACGCACGGTTTTTGACGGCAACTCCCGATCCGGGCTCGCTAGCGCGTATGCGCGGTGTTTCCAGGTGTAGTGGCGGCGTGACAACCACCAGCAAACTCCCCTTCCGGACTCGCGTATGCGCGTGGTTTTCACGGTGTAGTGGAGACGCAACGTTCACCGGCCACCTCCCGATCCGGACTCGCTAGCACGTATGCGTGGTATTTCCAGGTGTAGAGGAGGTGACAGACAGCAGCTAACTCCCGATCCAGACTGGCTAGCGCGTATGCGTGGTGTATTGCTGGTGTAGTGGAGGTGCGGCAGTCCGCGACCAACTTCCGAACCAGACTCGCTAGCGCGTATGCGTGGTGTGTCCTTGCTGCAGCGGAGCGGAAGAGCGACGCCCAGTCTTTGACCAGTCACAGACGGCCCAAGGGTGTGTTCTAAAAGGTAGGAAAGTAAGCGTGCGGCCAGTGAAAGGGCGACATTTAGGGAACCAACGGCAACGTAGCCAGAGGAACAGCAGCGACGACGGAGTAACAGCCGCGATCATAACAACAGGTACGGCCAACCGGATGCGCCGACGACAGAGCAAAGCGAAAACCAGGAGGAGCAGCAAGGAACCGGAGCGGAGCCCATTTTGGGGGCAAGGAGTAATTCATATTGTATTTGGGCAATCGAGTCAAAACATTTAAATTCGGTGGAACAGACTCACAAGCTCTGTGAGCTAGCCGCGGCAAATTGTTGCGAGCGGCTTGTAAATTCGTTCTGAACACCTGAGGCAGAACAGGAGAAAGCTCCTCGTAAGCATTGCCTCGGCGCAAATTTTGTACGCAGCACCCATCTTGGCAGCGGCAATGAATACGCCCAGCTACAGTAGAAGGGTTATTGCAGCGTAGGACTGAGAGCCATAAGGGTAGCGTCCGGTTTCAGAACGGACTACGAGGACGCCATCCTGGTCATGGCCCCGCTGAAAGAGCCCGCTCGAGAACTCAAGGAGCTCAATCAAAGGCTCTAGGACGCAATAGCATCCTTTGTTGCAACGATCATACTGAGGCTCAGGAGCATCGAGTAGGATATGCGGTAGGGTAGAGAGTTAAGGCCAGCGGCATACGAAGCAATGTCTAGCCCGTACTCAAGACTCCCATAAAACCAACAAAAAAAAATACACACAAAACACTATAACCAATTCAACATTCCATGAAATTTCAACAAAGAAAACCATTAAAAGAACTCCTCTGAAATCACATTCACCAGAAGGAGCAAGACGACATCGAGGTCATGGATACCGACATCGCAGTTACCACACCAATATCACCAAACTCATCTCAAATTACACAGGAGCTAACATAAAGAATGGTCTTCAAAGATAAGTCAAACTCACTCTCTACTCACTTTGAACGGTCCAAATTAAATATCAAATCTTCACCCAAAAACAAACACACCAATACACTAATTTGCAAGTAAACACCACATTTATACGTGTTGGACCTCTATGAAGGTCGGGGGGTGGAATCCTCATTTCGGAAACTCCCAACTTGCTTTTGAAGAGGTGAAATTAGAAGAATTTGGGGATTTAGAATTTGTTTGCATTAAAATCATTCTGTCTGGTAAAACTGGAGCAAGATTCTGACGAATCTCTAAATAGACTCCCATACTAGTCTCACATCAACAGTCCTGTTTACCAGGGTCGCCTTATCAGGTGCACGAATTGATCGTCCACCCCTAGTCTCGTCAGCGCGTTGGTTATTGAACTTGGCAGGATGTTGTTAAACGCACCTTCTATGTCTAGAAAAGCAATAAGCGCAATAAGTAATCTCTTGGAGAGCCGTTTCTACAAACATGGACATGGAGAAATAATCGAAGAGCAAAGGTGTTGAAAATGAGGAGTAATTTCATTTTCAAGTAACTTTAAAACCTAGCGGTGCCTTTGTAGTTTGCAGCATCGGACTTTTTCCACTTTTTATGCAATTATGAAAGATTCCTTCCACATAAGGGAAAAAATCGAGGTTTCCAAATATAAGAAGCGAAAAAATGGGTTTAACCCTTAGAAGATCTCATAATAAATTTTACTCGGAGAAAGACGGAAAGAAAACAAGATTTGCTGATTGAATGTTGCATGCGTAAGGCTGATCATTCATTTTAGGCAGTTGTTGTTTGTAAGTTTTTTGTCAAATAAAACGTTAGAAAAAAAGGCAAATATAAATTTTGAGTAAACTGAATCCGGCAGCGGCGAACAATCAGCCATTCAGCGTCATAACATTCAGCGTCATGCACGGCAAAATTTGACAGATCTAGCAGATATCTTGAAAAATCTGCATGCATGTTTTTTATATTGAACTAAAGGTCTGTTTTAAGTAATTTTTTTATTTCGTGAGACACCTTGTCTATGGCATGAGTCAAAAAATGAAAATTTATTTAAGGTATTATAAAATTTTAATTTTATTTAATTATTGTTAATTTAATTAAATTTTTTAGGTTTCATTTATATTTGTGCATACCAGAATATCGGACCAATCAAATTTATCGATTAGGATATTAAGTTTGTGAAAATTTGCCAAAGGCAACCAGAAAATCTTATTTGCCACGCAAGGAAACTTCTGATCAATACCAAAAATTGGTTTCGATTGAATGCCAGTATGTGGGCGGTTCAGACGAAGGGGGTATATATGAAACGGACAAAATGACTTTAATGCAAATTGTTTAAGTGGGGGGCCGTTGTGCCGCTCAGTTTTGCATAAGAGCGTTTTCGCGCTAAAGAGCGCACCCGCGCTGAAGAGCGCATCCGCACTCGCCCCTCTGTGCACTCTCTCTCGCTCGTCGGCCGTCGTCGATCGTCCGTTTATTGTTCTAGTTAAGTTTTAATCTCTTGCAGGCAGCAAATAAAGCTGGAAGCGTTTCTGAATTCAACCACGACGCCCCCGACTTCTTTTCTTATTTCGCCACTTCTGGAATCTTTTGCGGCTGCAACGCCCCCTACATCATTTTGGTCCTTCGAGCCGGATATTTCTTTGATATTTACTTCCAAAAGTTCCCGGCATTGTTCCGGCAAAAGATAATTACGACATTTTCTCGGTCTCGGTCTCTCTGCCGGTCTTCAGCAGTGGTCCGAACATTAAATGTTGTTCACACTGCTGCAAGATTGTTTTTCCCTCCGTGTCAACTCCAAGTCCGAGTTTTCCGACACAACAGTTTGAGATTTTCTACTCTTCTTCGTCTTCAAATTTTGCAAATTTTTCCATCCGTCTCCGTTTTGTGTGCTGCCCATATTCCATGCCGTTTTCGACCTCTCCGTTATCCATCCGCTTGCCAACGGTCGAGGCATATGTGCATCCACATACATACTGATACACATACACATTTTTTTGGTGCAACAGTGAAATTGTGTGGTGACAAAAAAAAAGGCATAATTAATATTGGCCAGCCGGTGTGAATTAGTTCCGGAATTTCCAAATTCACCGAACAGTCCGCCGCTGTCGTAATATTTGTTTTTTTTTCTTCCCCAATCAGTGTCATTTTTTACACCATACAGTCCACTTATCAACGCTCCACTATGCGAACATATACCCCACATGCCCTTACATACATCCGTACTTGCATGCATGTTGCAAATATTTTCTGCCTCCAATATCAGGAAATATATAACCTTAATATATATCTTAATAAAGATAAAGATAAAAAAAAAAATTTTAATTTTCTAAAACCAACAATTATAAACCGCCATTCCGCCATAAATTCTCAATCTAGCCGCCGTAGTAGCCGTGTTGTGTTTTTTTTAATGCGCTGTTTTTTTTTCTTTGGGTTACGTACAGGGTGCCGACGGCATAACCGGCTGCGTAATAACTTCATAACTTCAAAAAAAGGAAATCAATTAATTTTAAATTTATATATTTATAATTATAACCACCCCAATTTATTTAATTATTATTTTCCGTTCGAGTGAATTACCAGTTTTTTTTAATTCACCTTTCCGGCCACTCAATAATTAAAGTCGAAAAATTATTAATAATTTAATTATCAACCTTATGTCCGAATAGAGGCTCGGATTCAATTCCACCTTTCCGGCTCCGTGATAATTAAACTCAATTAATTAAAGATTAAGGTTTCAACTCCACCTTTCTGGCTCCATAATAATTAAATCCGACAATTAGT